AATTCCTTTACCTGTCAGGTAAAACAGCTTTCACATATGTCCTAAATCTATATACAGTATACACGAGGTATACTTCAGAAACTAATGTCATGCATTGATCCGGAAAAGTACTTTTTTCTAATTTAAGCATATTCCAGTTGTTTCTTATTTTAGTATATTATTTGATGAGCTGGCTTTATATGACCTTCACTGATTCAGTGGCTAAAGTGTGTCTTTCCCCACGTACCCTGCACATGCTGTAAGCTGCATTAACTGCATTGTCCTCAATAACAGGAAGTTTTGGAACTATTTTTGTTTGCACAGGGAAAGGTTTTTTTTTTTATAAAGAGCACCCTTGGCTTCCACTAGATTTGAAAATCATAGTGAAGAGGGTCAAGCTCATTAAAGCGGAAATATACTCCCCTCCACTCCAGCCGTCCCAGAGCTCCCCGCCAGACGCTGTCATCATCTTCAGCCAGGTGGCTTCTGGGTACCAATCTCTGGCCATTTTATTTGGCCAAGCTGAAGTGTCCTCACTCCACCGCAAGCACGGGAGTCCAGTCAGAGCGTCATTGCCAAAACTGTGCACTGAGCTACGCATGTACAGCTCAAGGTACAACAGCAAACAGGCTGATAAGAAACTTTAATGTAGAAGAGACATAGTATGTTTCTTTTGCATTAAAAATCCTTCCTGCTTTGTGCCTACATGCCATTTATCCAACGACAAGTGACCGATGTGTGAGATGCCTCATAGAACGAGGCTCCCTGTTACATGTATACTGGCAGTGCCAATCCCTTATGCAGTATTGACGAACAGTTCACCATTTGCTCCAATGTCTATTTGACTTGAGCTTCCCTTTTCTTCCGAAGATATTTTTGCTCGGCCTACTTTCACCCACTCTATCTAAAGCCTTCAAAAAGCTGGCATGCCACGTTCTGACCGCAGCACGGTGCTTAGTGGCTCTCCACTGGAAAAAGAACTTCTGTTGAGCTCCATGCCAGAATCAAGGATGTAGAACTTATGGAGTCCCCTATAGCACGCCTCATCAATAACCTTGAAAAACACAATAAGATTTGGCAGCTTTGGCATTCTGCTGAGGAACCGCCGTGATAGATTCCTCTGGAGGGTTTCTGGTGCCTCCAAGCTGGAGGGAGCATGTAGCGTCTGGAGGGTGGAGTCCTACCTCTTTCTATTTCCTTTTTTCCTTTTACGTATCTGTTCTTTTATTGTTAATAAGTAATGGAACATACCGTCTATATGATTGACTACCTGTAGAGAGGAGTTCATTGATTAATTATAACGTTTTTGGTCCAGGGTTGCATCCCGTATGTTGAATTCTCGTCATACACATTGACACAACTACTGACCGTTGGACATTGTTCTACTTTTTTTTGCCCCCCTGTGTGTGGTTCTTTTTGCCCCCCCTGTTTGTGGCTCTTGCCTACCGAGATTTTGCTGATTGTTATACAAGATGCTTCTTTTGAAACTCAATAAAAATTAATAAAAAAAAAAAAATGCTGCCTGTTCACTAACTTTTTTATTTTACTTAAAGTTCCACTTTAAACGTAACTGGCAGTAGTGAGAATACATAGTGAATATGTCAGATGAAGAATGTGAGAAGTGGAGTTTCCTGTTTTCGCTGCCCATTTAGTTCCTTCATGGATTTTAGTTAATGGGTCAGTATACTAGCTGCAGCAATGTGGCCCTATGATAGCAGAGCAGGGGCCACCTATTATCAAGGGCTTCTTCCCTTCTCCCGTCATTTGTTGTGATGGGGCCCCGGACTTCCTGTCCTGGTTGCCTTCCTCCCCTTCCATCCTGTGTTCAATAACAATAACCGACATCTGCCACGGCGCTGTGTTCTCTGCCTGCCATGATGCCGTAATCACAGGTATAAAATCAGACCTTTAAACGGCTGCACTTGCTTGCACAACAAACGGGCAGGTGGTAATGAGTGATAGCCTCAAGTCATGTGGAAAAGCTTCTGCATTGGCAGGCTGAATGTCTCTCTGAGCACCATTGCTATACTAGTGTCAGTAGTAGACAGGTGTTAGCAGCAGACCAGGCTCACCGCTAGGAAGTGATGGAATTATTATTAGTTTTAAGCTGCTACAATAATACAAAATTGATTCCATAAGCCCTGTACAGAGTTAGTGGATTTATTTGTCATATTTATAATCCTACATAGTACGTGAAAACCTTCACACCGGACCCAGCTTTATGAAGTAGATTACATGCTAATGGGCCCACCAACTCCAGACAAAATTTTTTTATTACAGATGAAATACATATGACAACTGTTTCACTTGCTAATGGTTTTGTATTTTCTTTCCATGCAGTCCTGATATTTACACAGTTCTGCACAGACCTGATTTTTCTTTGCTGCAGTTAGATGACACTTACAGGTCTTGTCACTCCCCCAGCTTGTGATTGGTTAGTGAAATTAGAAGAACTGTACAGATGAGCTCACATCTCTGTCATTCTACTTTCTCCTCCTATGAGCATGTTCATTGTTAGCACATTCTAAAGCACTGTAGAACAACTGTCTGGCTGTACGGCTTTCTCTTTCTCTCTCTCTCTGAACTCTGATGCACTGGGACTGCAAGAGCGTGATATCAAGACAAATTTTTTAAATTAAAACTCACACTGACAGGGTTTGTTTACACTAGGCTTAGCCATGGTTTTACTGCCCCTAACTGCCCACCCTTTTTAGTTGCAAAGACAGCGGAGGGGTGTGTACCCTCTCCTACTTCATGGTCCCCACCAGAGTAGGGTTGCCACTTCATCCCTTTAAAACCGAAGACATATTAACCACTTGCCGACTGCAGATAGCCGAATGACGGCTTCACTGCGGCCGGCCAATTCTGGGAGGGCGTCATATGATGTCCTCCCACGCGCCCCCGGGGGTGTGCACCCAGCGATCTCCATAATCGCTGTGTCCTATGGACACAGCTGATCACGTGATGTGGTAAAAGGCCAATCACAGCGGCCTTTTACCACGTGATCAGCCGTGTCCAATGACACAGCAGATCACCGATAAATGCAGATCACCGGCAATTGTCAGAGGATGGATCGGCACCGATCATCAGGGCACTGATGATCAGTGCCTAGTAGTGCCACCCATCTGTGCCCATCAGTGCCACCAGTCAGTGCCGCCAGTCTGCCACCCATCAGTGCCCATCATTGTTGCATATCAGTGCCCATCTGTGCTGCCTATCAATGCAGCCTCATCAACACACATCAGTGGAGAAAAAGTACCTGTTTGCAAAATTTTATAATAGAAACAAAGAAAAACTTTTTTTTTTTTCAAAATGTTTGCTCTTTTTTTTTTATAGCACAAAGAATAAAACACCCAGTGGCAAGTAAATACCGCCAAATGAAAGCTATATTTGTGTGAATAAAAATTTCATATGGGTACAGTGTTGCATGACCGTGCAATTGTCATTCAAAGTGTGACAGCACTGAAAGCTGAAAATTGGCCTGGACAGGACGGGGTATAACTGCCTGGTAGGGAAGTGGTTAATTCCACCGGTTCTGTGGCTGATTAAGGTGGTATTTAAACTCACTTGGTGCCATATCTGCTATAAATTAGCCTCAGAACCTGTATAATTAATGTGTTTGGTTTTAAAGGGATGGGGTGGCAGCCCTACACCAGAGTCCCCTCTTACATCATGGTCCCCATCGGAGTTCTCCTTTACATGGGGAACGCAATGAAGTGGAGACCATAGGCAGTCTCTTCTGACCTTTACCCTCCAGCTGTGCACAGTGAGGATATGTCGCTGACCTTAGCTGTGGGCCGTATGGAATCTCGTAGTGATCTAGATGTCACCCATGAGCCTCAGTTTGGAGAACCCTACCTTGGAGAAACGACTATTTTGCTGAGGAAAGAAAGAAAAACACAACATACGAGTGGGTACCCCTGTCTTGGGCACATTTAATTGCAAAGGGGCAACGCAGACCGTTGGTAATTTGCACAGTTTATCTCTGTCATGATCTTTTTGGGCTTCATGTGCAAAATTCAGCAGAAAGTGTCCTAGTAATCCTAAATGAGGGGGATGCTGTTTTTTGCTTGATTATTGTGTTGAGCCATTGCAGACCTTCCTGTTTTTTACAAATCCATAGTCACAGGTGTGCTAATCACACAGGAACAGAGGGAAGAGGATCTGCAGCATCACTCAGTCTAAATTCATAAGTGTGAAAGGGCCCTGACCAGCAATGCCTTACCAAAAAGAACTGCAAAATCCAAGCGATTTCTGTGAGTTTCTAAGTAAGTAGTCAGAGCAGTTAAAGCCTATATACTACCTGTCATCTATTTGCTGCCTTTATTTTCTCTGTGCTGAATTCTGAAAGTGAATCAAAATGTACCCTTGTATTGTAAGGGTTAAATGCTCTGTTAGTTTAGGGGTGCATGATGAGTTTTTTCACACCCAGTTCATGGCTGTGCATTATATGCGAGGAGGGTAGGTCTGTAAATGATGCTCGGTGCCGATAGACAACTGTGGACTAGTCGCATGGGTTGAGTGACCAGCCGGAGCCAAGAATGAGGCAAGTATTACACTTTATGTCTGCACCCCCTAGACCAGCCATTCTCAACCAGGGTGCCCTGAGGTTTCTTCAGGGGTGCCTTGGCAAAATGTCTAAAAATTGCCCAAAACTTGTATACAAGCCAGCGGGTGGAACAATCCTGCCTTTTAGTTACACAAAGCCACATGTTTTCATTGTGCGCCATTTTGACCTTCTAGCCGCTGGCGTCCTGACAACCAACAACATCAGTTGATAAGGAGGATGTCAGCTGCCTGTACAGTATCCTAGTTTGACCCTCCCCTGCCCCTCTCCATCAGTGCTGGGAGCACATTAGCTTAGTGATCGTGAAAAACTGAGGGAGAAGAGAAACATTGGAATACTAGTCCGTACCAGTGTGCAAAAGTGTATTTGCTTTGGAAGAATAAATCACCTCTAATGTTGGGTGTCCTACATGTGTGGATGTTGCTGCGTTATATAAAACTATTAGAATAGTTTTTCACATTTTAGAATGGGGTGCCTCGGGACTGTCCATAATTTTAAAGGGTGCCTCGGGACTGTCCATAATTTTAAAGGGTGCCTCGGGACTGTCCATAATTTTAAAGGGTGCCTCGGGACTGTCCATAATTTTAAAGGGTGCCTCGGGACTGTCCATAATTTTAAAGGGTGCCTCGGGACAGTCCATAATTTTAAAGGGTGCCTCGGGACTGTCCATAATTTTAAAGGGAGCCTCGGGACTGTCCATAATTTTAAAGGGGGCCTCGGGACTGTCCATAATTTTAAAGGGTGCCTCGGGACTGTCCATAATTTTAATGGGTGCCTTGACTGAAAAAAGGTTGAAAAACACTGCCCTAGACCAAGCATTTAACCCTTGCACTGGAGGAGGCCCCACTGCAAGGTCACCCCTCCATTGTGTGACAGTGCTTAGGCCTAGCAATAGGTTGCTAGACCTAAAAGCTGCCTTTTGGGAGGAGATGACACTCTCCCATACCCAGCTGCAGTGGTTATTTTATGCTGGCTCAGTGGTTTGGAATCCCTAAAGTATCACTGGGTTGGGGTGCGCCTATTCAGACACTGACCCTTCACCTTGAATGTATTTAAAGCTGAACTCCAGGCACAATCATTTTCTTTTAAATATATTCCTTACTCATGATAAAGGATATAAATCCATCTTGCGTGCATCAAATGGCTTTGCAAACCCAGATATTACCTTGTAAAAGTAGCTGTGACACCATCAATGTGCTGTACATATCTTGTACAGAGAGCAGTGCTGTGGGAGGGGGTCAACAGGCTGCCTGCATACAAATCTACAGGAGGGGAGGATACAAGACCATCACCCTGCACAAGGTGAGAGCAGCAGTGACCAGTCTTTATTATAGGAAGTTTTTGTTACAAACTGGATTACTGCAAAGAACTGGAAGACATACAAAGCACACCAGGATTCAATTAGGAATACACATGACTCTTGTATTTAGACAAGGTTTGCTACTCTCAGAGCTTTAGTGAAATATATCTGTTTTGTGTAGACAGGTCTTCTTTAATCTCCAGTGTGATGCAGCTTTTATATATAGTTTTACTCAGTGATTAAAACCTGAATATTTCTTTTGGCTCTGTGAGTTGTGGGTTTAAATAGTATCTTCCAGGCAGCCTGCGAGGAATTGGCTTCGGCGTACCTGTGAGCTGGATGTATGCTATTTCCGGAGCCCGAGGCCAGCCTTGCTGTTTCCATCCTAGCTGTGTGTCCTTGATCCCGCATGAAATCTATCTCCCGCTTCCTGTACCGCTCTCCTGCCAGCCACGTGGCTTTCAGGCTGAACCCTTACATGACCTCATCTGCATTATTTCCTTTCCTACCAAATCTTGGGAGCTTTTGTTGGTGGGATTTAATCTGCGTCCAGAACACGCTGTTCTCATTTAGGTAACGTGACTGTAACATAAATCATTTTTCCATCCTTTTAGTTTGCTGCTCTCTGTTTTAGTATGTTTTTTTTTTTTTTACCCTGAAAATATCATATTTAGGAAACAATAAATGCACACTGGCTGCTAGCTGCATGGTAATTAAATAATGTAATAGCTGGAAGTCGATGTAAGAATGCTAGCCTGTGGGTTTTGAGCAATGCGAAAAAAAAAATGCTTCAAAAATGTTTAATTTACTGGAGTCCCCCATCATGTCTCCCCCGCCAGTGCCTCTTCCGATTAGTGGCCATCAGTTCAAGGATGCAGTCTGAGCCCATCACAGGAGGGGACGCATAATCCTGTATAACCTTGTATATCCTTGCCTAGGCCAAACTTAGTAGTGTTTACCATGCATCAGCTGCGTTGAAAATCATTTTCATACCTCAATAATTTATAGATGTGTGTATATATCAAATATAACATCAAAAACAAGTTTAATCCATGAAGGAAACTTGGTTTTCTAGCCACGATGCCTCAGATCCTATCCCAATGACTGACAGCCTTGTACAAAGCTGTGGAGCCCTGGTTGGCCTTTAGAGCTGTAATGTATCAAAAAAGAAAATTGAAGCACACACCACTGCTAAGGGTACAGATACAACTTTATTCCCATGAAAGTCATCCAAAACCAGCTGTTAACATGGCTTGTGCTTGTGATCATGCTGGAAGAAATAACAAAAAGGGATCTATTTCACTTCTAGTCTAAAGGTCTTAGGGTGCCCTAAACACATTGACCACTCAAAGGTCTGTCTATCTTACTTTTGTTAGAATAAAATTGTATCTGGACCTCTTTGCAGTGGTATTTTCATTTGTTGCATTACACTGCAAGAGAAGGAGAGTGTGGAGATTCTATGGGGGCAGCCTTTCATAACCAAGGTTCTATGGTACCCTAGGGTTCCTCCAGAGCATTCTTTGATGTGCTAATGCTTCTTTCAATATTAAAAGGCTATTGGCATGAGGATAAAATGGTTTTCTGTCCAACATGTCGATTTAGAGGTGTTCAGAAAGCCGCAAAGAATTAGACCCATGGTAGTCACCCTCTAGTGAAGAGTTTCTCAACCAGGGCTTCATGGAACCCTAGGGTTCCTCCAGAGGTTGCTTGGGTTTCTCTCCAGTAAGTAACCACTGACACCAGTGATCTTTTTAGCTATCTTTAGGGAGGTTTTTTCCAGTGACCACAAATGTAAGAAGCATTCTTCCCAGTGAGGTTCACCCTAATGTACTTTGATATGTAGGAATAGTAATTTTTAGCAGGGGTTCCCCGAGCCTGTAAAGTCTGTAAAGGAAGTTTGAGAAAGGCTTTACTCCGGTGTAAAGGACGCCTTCCTGAATTATTTACATCTGCATCAATACTTTAAGATGGCTACCATTAAGATAACCTTCTACTTTCTTCAACTGGCCAGAACTGACTGTCCCTACCCTAGAGGCTTGCTGTGCAGATACTTATGAGAATGTAATATAAAGACTCATTCAGATACTTGTACTAGTGGTGTTTACAATACACTGAGAGGAATCTGGGGCAACTGTGTATGGCAACCAATCAGTTTCTATTTTTCATTTTCAAAGTTTAACTGAACAAGTTGAAGATAGAAGCTGATTAGCCGCCATGCACAGTTGCTCCAGATTCAGTTTGCTCCAGTTATGATAAATTTACCTTGTTGGGTCTTCTTAATGAATATAGAACTGGGCTGAAGAATGTTTTTTAGTATCTCCCTAGAATTCAGCCTTATCTCACTCACATCACTCCTCTTTACCCCAGTCGCCCTCTAGTAATTGCTAGGATTCATCAAAATAAAAATTAAGAGTTCCTTTTAGTTTCCTAAATCCATGGTTGTGTAGTACTCTTGAGTCTTCTATATCCTGTACTGGAAAGGGGGAGAGTCATTATTTCGGTATCCACATTGCTGGCTGGGTGACATGGACAGTTCCCATTGGAGGTTCAGTGGTAGGCTCCTGATGACTGCAGTACATGATGAGAGATGGCAACAAGCCAGGTTGGTGGGGCCAAACCTCAGTGCTGGTACACTCTTCTCCACTCCCAGAAGAGCCACCGGTGCCAGACTTTGTCCAGGTCAATCATCGTAGGTTATCACTCTTTATCAAGTGGCCGCGATTAGCTTCAGAAGATGTCTGTCTCCCATTGCTGTCAATGAGACTGCCATCCACAGCTAATTGCCTGGTACCCCTGCTGGCTCTCGTGCAGATAATCTGTAATTCTGAAAATATGTCACCAGCGCACCAAGGATTCTTTAGACTGATCCAAGGATTTATTCAGCAGGCAAAGCATGTGTACGAAGGCAACATTTCAGAGTCGCACAGGCCCCTTCATCACTTGCCTGATAAGGGGCCCTACATGGCTCTGAAAGGTTGCCTTTGTAAATATGCTGTGACCACTGAAAAAAGCTTTGGACCCGTTTGACGAATCCTTGGTATGCTGGTGACACATTTTCAGCTTTGAATGTCTACAGTTTCCAGTTGATAGTCACTGCATCACCCACTCACACTGAACAGCCAATTCCGTGTATTGGGAATATTACAATTACGCTTTTAATCGTTAACTGTCCCATTCACAAGTGTAAATGGGACCTTAGAGGGTGTTTTTGTTGATGAATAAAAATTGCAAGTCAGTACATTTGCCCATTGAAGGCCTTTATTAATAACATTCCTTTTCACATTAAGTCTTGCTCAAACGTAAGAGTGCTTTTGTCATTTTAGCTTGCCTAGTTTATCACTTGTGAAATTGCCTTTTGAATGTAAAAATTGTGCGGAAAGTGCAAAACACCTAAAGGGTTTCTGCAGACTTCTATCAAATGTGTTCTTTTATGCCTTCCCTTATTGATGCATAAATTGTTATTCCAGCTGAACCCCTGTGTCTGTAGATCATTCAAATTGTTTTCTGAACTGAGATATAGAAAACTTTTCAGATATAGCCTGTAAATCCAGATGTAGAATTTTGTTAAAAAATTTTCATTTTGAATTGATCGTTCAATTTTTGCAATGGTTAGTGGGGTCACCCATTGACAACTGTTTTTAACCATAGTGATGAGAAAATTCAAAGAAGGATGGATTTTTTCTTCAAACAAAATTCTGAGTATGGTTTTCATTTTGGAAAAATTGTATTTATTGTAAACCACATGTTCTGGGCACAGAATCTGTTCTATACCTCTGGAATTCCATTCAAGTAGCAACTCTGCAGGAAAAATTAAGGGCTTTTTAAGAAATGTGTTGATGGCAATGTGGAATGCCCTGATGAAGGAGATTTCAGAATTTCTGTCGGAACGTTTGAACAAAATTCTACTGGTGTATGGCCAGTTTTTAACCTGGTAGATTTGTTTTTTTTTTTTTAATCTGCCCACAGGTCAGCTTCCTTCTCCTTCCCTAGTTATTGTATTATTGTTTTCCCCTTTGTAATCTGCTTTGCTATTTGGTGTATTGATTCTGCATCTCCGAGAGTTTGAAGACCTGAGCTATTTATGTGCTCTTTGAACTGGCACTGACAACAAAGTCCCAGGCAGTGATTTTTACATGGATGAAAATGGTTGGACTGATCAGAAAGATGAAGAGCATCCTTTGATGTGCTTATCTCCAGCTTGTGATGTGCTAATGCTTCTTTCAACATTACAAGAATATTGGCATCAGGATAAAATGGTTTTCTGTCCAACGTGTCGATTTAGTGGTTTTTAAAAAGCCACAAAGAATTAGACGCACAGCAGGTACCCTCCAGTGTCCTGTCACGTATTTCCTCTTATTGGTTTCTCCCCTCTGTGGGGTGGTCACCTTATGAACTATAGGGTGTAGTACCCTTTTGGGGTTGATTTACTAAAACTGGAGCGTGCAAAATCTGGTGCAGCTCTGCATAGAAACCAATCTGCTGTCAGTTTTTTTTTTTTTTGGTCAAAGCCTTATTAAACAAGCTGAAGTTAGAAGCTGATTGTGCACACTCAAGTTTAGTAAATCAACCCCTTGGTCTTCCACCATACTTGGAGTCTGGGTGAGCTTTCATCAGATCTGTCACAG